ATGCATGATTTAACATTTTACATATGTAACTTTACATATCTTATTTAGCATTTCACGTATTTAATGTTGCATGTGTGATTTAACATTTTACGCATTTAATCTTACATTCATGATTTAACATTTTACATATGTAACTTTACATATATTATTTAACATTTCACGTGTTTAATGTTGCATGTGTGATTTAACATTTTACACATTTAATCTTATATGCATGATTTAACATTTTACATATGTAACCTTGATTTAACATTTTACATATTTAATCTTCCGTATCGTAGGACGTCATTAAAAATTATTAATGAAGGCTGTCTAAACGAGAAAAAATTTTGTGTTTAATGTATTAATGGAATAAAGAATGATTGCAGTTGAAGTTGAACTTTGTAGGATGTTCTTTTACGATTTTAATAAAACTTCAACGAAGAACGAGACATCGATCAATAACGTTATCGAATGCAATTTCCTGGCACAACTGCAACGTTGTTTCATGGGGGATCGATAATCCCACAATTGGGACATCTAAACCCAATAATTCTGCATACAAATCTTTCGTTATCCCTCCTTAAACCATCACTGTCTAACATACGTGATGGAGCCATTCGTCAATCTTTAAGAAGATGAAAGTATTTTTTATATTTTAGGAAAATGTGGTTTTCCCTCCTCTTTGCTTAACCTAAAATTACAATATTCGGAACACTGACAATTTATTATATACTATATTTCATATAACAATAATGTTATATAACAAATAATATCTTTATAGCCTTCTCTCATCTTTGTCTTAACCCAACCTAACCTAAAATCACAATATTCCTTGTATCCGCAATTCAGAATTTCTTACACGAATAACTTAACCTAACCTAATTTAAATTTATAGTATTCGATATAACCTGACATCGTAGCATTTCACACGGAAAAAAGTATCTGTAATCACACGTTAAAAAGGGATGCATAACTTTTTTATTATTGACCCATAAACACCTTCGAACCATCTCACTTTATGGAAAAGCATTTTCAAGTTTTAGTGCTCGTTTCAACGGCTTTGAAGAAAGTGAACGCGAGGAATCATTTTGCTCGCCGTATCGGTCTCGGTTAATCGTATTCTGAACTGATATGAAAGACCGTGACTTTTTCCGGACGTCAGGTGCGACCACAGATATCGGGGGGCCACGTGCCAAGTGAGAAATATATTTGTACGAGCCAGCTACTCATCAATTTTCACTTTTACTTGGTTACGTCTCTTAGTTTGGAAGAATGAGAAAATTAAACGAGGATCGAAGAAGTAAATACAGCAATTACTAACCTAACCTATGAATACAAAATGATCCTCCAAAAACTACGAGTTCAAAAATAATAAAAAATCACAAAATATCCAACATCTCCCAATAATTTAATAATCAAGAAGTTCACTCCCTTTCGCAAGTAATTATTGAAAGTTCCTACCTAACCTAACCTAACCTACAAGCCTAAAATAATCCTAAAACCATAGATCCGAAAAAAAATTGCATGCAACATCTCCCAATAATTTAATACCCAAGAAGTTCACTCCCTTTTGCAAGTAATTATTGAAAGTGCCTACCTAACCCAACCTAACCTACAAGCCCAAAATAATCCTAAAACCACAGGTCCAAAAAAAATTGCATACATCTCCCTACAATTTAATAATCAAGAAGTTCACTCCCTTTCGCAAGTAATTATTGAAAGTTCCTACCTAACCTAACCTAACCTACAAGCCCAAAATAATCCTAAAACCACAGGTCCAAAAAATTGCATACATCTCCCAACAATTTAATAATCAAGAAGTTCACTCCCTTTCGCAAGTACTTATTGAAAGTTCCTACCTAACCTAACCTAACCTACAAGCCCAAAATAATCCTAAAACCACAGGTCCAAAAAAAATTGCATGCAACATCTCCCAACAATCCGCCGATCAAAAAGCTCGTCCCTTTTTACAAGTAATTGATTGAAAACTCGATCAGCTGTGCCTGCACGTGCATTTATGCCAAAAACTGGACTCCAAAAGATGGGTCTATAAATAAACTTGACGCTGAGCCACAGACACTGCGAACTTTTTACCCTAGGTGGGAGGTTCTTATCGATTTCATGCCCGAGTCGCGGAGGCAACTCCAGATATCCCTCGGATTTCAAGTCCTATCGTTTCTGTTTCGCTTATTTCTAGCATGCTCGTCGAATTAAAAGCTTCTGTCTCGCTGGAAAAGAGTTACCCAGCATCGGCTGCACTTCAAAAGGCCGATTCGATGCGCCGTGCAGCTTCAAGAATCATTCTTTTATCTCCGATAAATATGCGTCGTGTATGCTCCAGTGAGTTAACGGAGGCGCATGTACCATTGTGCAACAATAATTATAGGAGACCATGGCAGTTTGAGAATGGGGGTCAAAAATCAATACCGAGGGAGGGCTACGTCCTTTGTACGGCAGCCATTTTTTCGGTGGTTTTGGGATCTTGGGGATCAAACTTTTAGACCTGAGGGGAAAACGAGGACCTGGGAGATTATGGGGTGTCTAGGAGTTGGGGTTTCCAGATACAAGAGTCTTTGAAGAAGCTAGGATTTTGGTAGGTTTCAGAAATACTGGGACCTGGAGGATTCCAAAGAGCACAACCTCTAGACCATAATCTCTAGAGGTATCTTAGGAGTCATAGGGATCCTAGGAGGGTTTCTAAGAGACCAGGGAGTGTAGAGGTCCTAGGAACCGAAGGGTACTAAGGAGTCCTAGGCACCAGAAGACTCCAAGGATCCTGGAGGTCCTATGAATGTATGAGTTCCAATGATGTGAGGGATCTAAGGATTTCTAGAAGTTCTAGGTGTTCCAGAAGTACCAGATAGATGCTAGGACTCCTAGAGAGACTATAACTGTCAGGGAGTCCACATCCAGGAAGATGCTTAGGACCCCAACAGTTCCAGGCATCCTACGATTCCTATAAGTCCTAAAGCCCCATAAGTCCCACAAGCTCCATAAGTCCAAGTGGTCTTAGTAGTCCCTGACGACCTAGAATTCCTAGGGTCCATAAAGTCCCACAAACCCCAGAGGTCCATCTGATTTCTCAGGAGTCCAGACATCCCACTAGCTCTAGAGTCCACAACGTCCCACAAATTCTAGAAGTCCCAGTCCAGAAGTGAACCCGGATTTCTCAGACAACCCAGAGAGTCTAAGGTCCGTGTAGTTCCATAAAATCCAGATGTCCAATCGCTGAAGCTCCACCAGTACGAAAGAGTCTGGGTGCCTAGGGAACGATTGCATACCGAATTCACGGGCCGGAAGTTCGACAACCTGTGAAGTTCCGTAAAAAGATTCCACCTGGGCGAAAATATGTCAGCCACCCACGCCTCGCGTTCGGAAGAGTGGCCATGGAAAGTGGGACAAGGTTCGCGATAATCGTATCGCCAGCGTCGTGTGTTAGCGTTGACATGCACGGCACACAATTGCATCCTTAATCGGCGCGATAACGCCTTCCGCGTGAAGACTGGTGGAACCAGAAATTTGGATATTTGTGCACGTGGGAGTGCATCATTGATAAGTTGGGTGTCCCAGGGACAGGACGCGGCAAGATGAAAGGCGCGCGACAAAAGAACGTCTTGAGGCTGTGACTCGCGAGAAGGACGATATGAATGATATAAACGCAAGAAATCGATTGTAAACGGACGACGCTGAAGTGATGCCTCCCCTTGGCTGCCGTTAATGCTCTTCAATTACTGTACAGGTATACAAGGATCTTTTGTATGTGAGCCTGAATGGCTCCTCAATAGTGACTGCGTTCAATTCGAATGGGTGCATTAAAACACCCGGATGAAACGTTTTATGTCTTATTTTTATATTACTAAGAAAGTTTGTTTGGGAAGAGCACAGGTAGAGGGCATCAATTTACCTGTTGCCCACGCACCTCGCGACACGAACAATTTTTGACGAACACAGTAGAACGATGTGGTAGATTAGATTAATCAACGAGTAAATAGGACTTAATTTTAGTCCTGCATTGACCTAACGTCTTAACCTTAGCCTCGATTCGACCTAACGTTTCAGTCTTGACCTCGAGGTGACCTTACGTATCAATCTTAGCCTTAACGAGATCTACTCTTGAAATCGTTCACCTAAGTTGATCTACAATCAAGCTTGGGTCTACTGACTTAACTCTAACTTAACCTAACATCTCGGTCTTAACCCTAACTTGATCTAACCTCTCAATCTAAGTCCTAACATGACCTAACCTCTCGATCTTAACCCTAAGTTGGTCTTAGCTCTCAATCTAAGCCCTAACATGACCTAACCTATCGAATTTAACTCTAAGTTGGTCTAACCTCTCAATCTAAGCCCTAACATGACCTAACCTATCGAATTTAACTCTAAGTTGGTCTAACCTCTCAATCTAAGCCCTAACATGACCTAACCTATCGAATTTAACTCTAAGTTGGTCTAACCTCTCAATCTAAGCCCTAACATGACCTAACCTATCGAATTTAACTCTAAGTTGGTCTAACCTCTCAATCTAAGCCCTAACATGACCTAACCTATCGAATTTAACTCTAAGTTGGTCTAACCTCTCAATCTAAGCCCTAACATGACCTAACCTATCGAATTTAACTCTAAGTTGGTCTTAGCTCTCAATCTAAGCCCTAACATGACCTAACCTATCGAATTTAACTCTAAGTTGGTCTAACCTCTCAATCTAAGCCCTAACATGACCTAACCTCTCGAGCTTAATCCTAAGTTGGTCTAACCTTTCAATCTAAGCCCTAACATGGCCTAACCCTTCGATCTTAACCCTAATTTGATCTAACCTCACAATCTAAGGCCTAACATGAGCTAATCGTTGGAACATAGCTCAAGTTTGACCTAACCCTTGAATGTTGGCTCTAATGTGTCCTCACCCTTTAACCATAGCTCTAACTAGACCTAACCTAGAAACTACTTGTGATAAAAAAAGTTGCCATACGTCTAAACAGTTGGCAAACAGTGCCGTTCTGTCCTATTAACCTTCTCGCCCAATTTCACCCTAACCTTTCGTGAATGGCACAGGGGTTCCCCTTTGAGAGCCACTCGATTCCCGATGGACTGACCAGCGGGAGCGTGAAATATTCGGTAAAATGGCGGAAACGTAATTAAGAAAGATCAGCACTCTCCACGCTGGTCATTATGTGGCGCCAAAGGGGTGGTTCGGTGGGACGAGGGGATAGCAACAGAGGAAATATTTTTGGAAGATCGATTTCCAACCCCTGACCACCCACGCCGGCTCGTTAGATGGGTTTCGATTCCAGCGGCTGCCGGAATGAGCGTGGATAGAAGATGGAGCCTCCGTATACGTACGTCGTGACGCTCGATGTCTGGATCTCAAAAACGCGTCCAAATCGATACGGCACGCTTCTCCGGATCCGTCTGTCCGTCAGAGCGTTATGTTTCGTCGATAAATGGAACTCGTGACGAGCCAACGCGAAATGTTTCACAGCTGACATGTTTGCTTTGGAAGAGGGAGCAGACCACGAAGAGGGGACGTAGGGAGCAGGTGGTCACTGACAGTCACTGAAACTGGCCGTCCATGGACGACCAGCGGAATCCACAGCCTCTAGAACGGTATAGCGGAGCAATCGATGTCCCCGTGTTCGGGGGTGTCCCGTGGACCACAGAGGACCCCCTTCGGTAGCTAGCCCCCGGTCAGGACCATAAGAAAGGCTGTCGATCGGCCTCGTGCGGCCTCAAAGCGTGTAAAAAGTCGACTCGACGGAGAAGCTTTGAAGAGAGGGAGAGAGACAGAGAGCAAGAGAAGGGGGGAGAAAGACAGAGAGAAATCAATAAGCAGCGTATCGACGGACTGGCTGGTCGGACAGAAATGTTCAGGCTCGAAAATCGCAAGGCTCGAGGCCGTGAGGCACACAGGACGAGTCTGTCCTTCCCGTCCGACGAGTCGTCACCGAGCCCGTACCTCCTGCAAACGTAGGTCCTGTCACGGCTCGAACTGGAGGGATGCACCACGCGCAGCACTGGTCTTCTTGCGACGATGAGATCCCGGTTTTGGTACGCGAGTCCAAGAAAACCGACACGGCCTGGCAACGCACGCAGCACGGGGGTTGTTTCGCGACGATTTTAAAGAGACTGGACTGGACTCGGTAAAGCCTCGCGCCACTGTAGTCCGTTATAGCTAAAATATCGACCATTTCGTGGACCCCCGCCCGTCTTCGGGCCAATCACGACGAAGGACGCGCCTGCGCCCTCGACAACCCGACTGACATCTCGACACCACCGGGAGAACCCTCCTCCTGGAGGGAGGACACTTGTTGATTTCGATTTTTCATGTGTCTACGACTATGGTGAGTCCCTGGAGATCCCTGCGTGATTTCTACATGAACGGTCGTTAGTATGGTAGAAATTCTTAGGTGAAGATATAACTCGCATTTTTGGTCCCAAAATATATATTATAGGCAGTAGAAAATTAATATTAATCAATATGTAATAAGTATATAACATATTAATTCAGAAAATCACTGTAAATGGGGTTTTTTTAAAATTGAACTAGTGGCGCCATCTCTTCAACAAACAGGGTGAACTACACGTATCTGGAGGAGGTCCTTCGTTAGTTCTATTTATCGCCACTAGGCGGCGCAACAGTCGCTGCCTCATTAGTACCTGCACAGTGTCACTAGATGGCACGACGTGTATCTTTTTAATTTATTTCAATTGATAAAGTTGATTTATTAGCATAATTGATTATAAAATGAATCAAAACATTGAAGTGCAAGATTTATTTGTCTATAATCATTTTTAGGTTAATTTTAATTATCCCATGGGTTCTGCGGTGATCATCGGAGTCGTCGTCGATCAAGAGGAATTTTATTTTCAAGCTGTCGATAAAGAAGAATTTTATTTGTACTTGATATTCAATTTTATTTATGTTCAATTGTATTTTTAAAAGAAAAACGTTCGTTATTCATCCCATAATTAAATCTGAATTCAGAACCACATATTTTATAATCAATTTCAATAAAACAGTTATTTTTTATAGTTATAATTAATTGACTATTTTAAATATAGAAAAACACTCTCTATATCCTCATTAGTACCTGCACAGTGTCACTAGATGGCGCGACGTGTATCTTTTATTCAATTCAATTGATAAAATTCATTTATTAGCATAATTAATAATAAAATAAATCAAACTACATCGAAGTGCAAGATTTATTTGTCTATAATCATTTTTAGGTTAATTTTAATTATCCTAAGGGTTCTGTGTTATGTGTTGCCATCTAGTGGTAGAAAATCGGAACTAATTAATGTAGAGTTTCAAAATTTTTTCGATTAATTAACTTTTCGGATATATTAACGCTTTTAAAATATTCTAAAGCGGTCTAAATATAATGGATTCTTATTATTTTGTCTCGCACACTGAAGTTGACTCGATACAGGGTTGTCATATTTGAAAATGCTCAAACTTTCACATTTGGAAGTCCAAGTACATTCTTATGTCATTCCTGGTTTCATCGGTGAGATACAGTATAGTGTGCAAATTGTTCTGAAGGTAGAATATGTATTTTTTGACTCAAGGAATATGTTATAGGCAGTATGAAGTCAATATTAATCAATATGTAATAAGTATATAGCATATTAATTAAGAAAATCGCTGTAAATTGGGTTTTTTTAAAAATTGAACTAGTGGCGCCATCTCTTCAACAAACAGGGTGAACTACACGTATCTGGAGCAGGTGCTTCGTTAGTTCCACTTTTCGCCACCAGAGGGCAGCGATTTTGGCGCCGCCTGGTGGCGAAAAATAGAACTAACGAAGGACCTCCTCCAGATACGTGTAGTTCACCCTGTTTGTTGAAGAGATGGCGCCACTAGTTCAATTTTTAAAAAAACCCAATTTACAGCGATTTTCTTAATTAATATGCTATATACTTATTACATATTGATTAATATTGACTTCATACTGCCTATAACATATTCCTTGAGTCAAAAAATACATATTCTACCTTCAGAACAATTTGCACACTATACTGTATCTCACCGATGAAACCAGGAATGACATAAGAATGTACTTGGACTTCCAAATGTGAAAGTTTGAGCATTTTCAAATATGACAACCCTGTATCGAGTCAATTACTATACCCTCATTTGCGATATCTTAAAACTGGTTGCCTGGTAACGTAGACTGTTTATCCGACACAATTTTGATTCGTTTTTCACCCAGTCACGGTTGTCCATAAATTTAAAAGAATTTAATTTAATGATGACCAGGATATTTAAATTAATTTGTTGAACATGTCTCATAGAAATTTTCACAACTCCAGGGAGAGTTATGTGAAGGAGATACAAATACTGGAACCGGAAGTCAGCTGCGAGGACCACATCTTGAAACGAACGCAATCTGGACGTCAATTTACAGAATTCCGTCTTAAGTAAATAATCCTTTAAAAAGTTCATTTGCTAAACAATTTCCGGACACGCATTTATTTGAACAAATTTTTTCTTAGATTAAGAAAATCCCAGAGCGTAGGAGGGTCGACGAAAAAATTAAACAGATGCAGTCGTAAATTGACGGCGAACGGTCTGAAGGTGCCAGAGGTACCCGAAAAAATTGTTAATATTCTGAATATTTTGCAACACGAGAACTTCTTGGAATTGGTCGATCAATTCTTCAAGCCCAAGGCTACCAAGCAACCGTGAAGGAATATCGCGGTCGAATAACGTCCATTATGACTCAAACATTGTCACGGCAAAGTTAAAAAGTTGACTTTGACTGATTGTCGGAATAACACTTTGTAATTTTGTCCTTTGAATAAACAAACGTGTTTGTATGGTGAAAAACATTGATTCATGAATATTTTTGATCGAGTAAATGGTGTTCGATCAACGTCAGAATGTAACATCTTAAACTAAGAAAACTGATGAATAATAACTTTTAGAAGTTATTAAAAATTATGTGGAGAGGAAAACGCAGAGGAGGAAATCGTAGACTCTTTTACTTAAAATAAGTTGTGCTTTATTCAGCAATTTGTAGCTTACAATCACATTCTCAAGAAGAGTCACAGTGTCAAAAATCCACTCCTGTACATCAAGCTCATACGCAGTTCAATTTCGCTTACAATGTTCCTATAACGTGTCAGTAACAATAAGTAACAATCGCAGAATCTTATTTACAAAAATGTCAAAAGAAACGCCTTCTTTAAAGTCCTTAACCCCCAAACAAACCGAGTCATAAAAATATAAAATTCAAATCGTCCGAGGGTTAACAGCGAGGAACTAAACATTACAATTTTTACAAATTGTCACAATCGGCATCCGTTCTCGAATATTTCAAAGTTTGCTCTCATGGTCGTCGTAGATGACGGCAGGGTTGGTAGCAGCCCATTTCTCCTTGAACGGCAGCTCCTCCTTCTTGGGTCTGTTCTTCAAGTTCTGCACCCCAGCGTAGTGCTCCTCGATCTCCTTCAACGTCCTACCCTCCGTCTCTGGCAGTATGAAATACAGTAACACGCCGCCAACAAGGTTGATCAACGCGTAGAACAAGAAGGTTCCAGCTAGGGACATTCCGTTCACCATGTACAGGAACACCTTGTTGGCTATGGAGTTGAAGATGTAGCCCATGGAGCCTGCCATCCCTGTTGCGCTGCTCCTCACCTGATAACATTGAAAATATATTCTTGTATTTACAGCTGCATAGCTTAAATGTAAGGTTAGCAAAATAATGGAGTGATGGTGAATAATGGTGACATTAGTCCTGAGGGATACAGTGCTACAGCTGGGGTTGTTAAGTCTGCATTTGGAGTTCTTAAGTGCTCTGTGCTAAAGCTGTTTACGAGAACATGGACATAGCAGACATGGACGTTAGGATGCACATGTAGGAACCTCAAGTACTCCAAATGGAGATGTATATAGATCTTCCTACAGGTATATAAGCACATAGTATCCTAACAGTTCATCCTATATATAATTATATAGACACAGTATCCTAACAGTTCATCCTATATATAATTATATAAACATAGTATCCTAATAGTTCATCCTCAGATTCCTTCAAACGTGGACGCACCTTAACAGGGAACACCTCTCCAGCCAAGACCCAAGGCAACAACCGAATCCCCGCATGCGACAAGAACGCAGCTCCGATCATCAACGTAGTAGGCATCCAAGTGAACCTCTCGACGTCGATCACCTGGCCGTCATTCAGATAACCATAAATGGCCGCCAAGCAGAAGCTAAGGCCGGTGCCGCCGATGGACACGAAGTTCAACACTCGCTTCCCGGTGAAGTGGATCGCAATGACACAGATCAGTGTCCCGATCAATTCCGCTAGACCCAAGAACACTGCAGCGGTGTATTCCTCGATAGGCGCATTCAGTTTCACGAAGATCATCACCGCGAAAGTCTGGAGAGTGATCGTGCCGCCGAATGCGCCGATGAAGAAGGCACAGGTGACCAGCATGAAGGGGACGTAGAAGGTCCTCTTGCTGAAGGACTTCCAGACCTTCTCCCTGGACTCGGCTGGCTTGTGGACCTCCTGGCAAATGGTCTGGAACTCGGCCTGCACTTGGGAGGGGCTGACCCAGCCTCGGAGCCAGCAGAGAGCCTGCTCTGCTTCCCTCGTGCGACCCTTTGCTGAAATGGTTATGTAGGAATATATCTAATTCTTAGGTATTGACAACTATTATGTGTTTATCCAGACAACTATTACGTGTCCAACCAGAATTTGTTTATACCTGCGAGCCAGTAAGGACTCTCGGGCACCAGACACAGCACCACGAAGCAAATAAGCGGATACGCCAGGTTGACCATGCTGACGGTCCTCCAGTTCGCCAGTTTGCCACCCAGCATCTGCGTGAATATCCCTAGGATGATGGACATGCTCGACGTAGCGGACAGCATACCCCGAAGGTGAGGCTGCGTCACCTCCGCCACGTACGTCATCACAGGTGCCTCCAGCAGACCCCCTGTGAGTCCTGTCATGGCTAACGCGATGAACAGCATCCCAGCACTGGTGGCATAGTAGTAAATGATCCAGGCGGCTATAAACGGGATGTTGGTCAACATCATGGTTCGCTTGCGACCCAGGTACTGCGACAGGGGACCGCTGGCGAAGCATCCGATGGGAACCAGGAACAAGTTCAGGCTACCTGAATAGATATGAGCACGTTACATTTTTTCAATGTGGGATTTCTGGTTAGGTTACTGTTAGGCAACTTACTGATCCAGGTCAGTTCCTCGATTGTAACTGGGATCTCCGAGTTCTCCTTCTGCAATTCTGGGATGAGAATAGTGGAGAAGCCTAGGGTGGAGCCGAAGGTGATCATCAGGAGGTTCTTGGCGCTGACTGCGCAGCATTGTGGCAGGGCTTGGCGGAGTTTGGATATTGAGAAGTTCTCTGAGGTGCCGTTTGTGTCGTGTGGTGACTTCTCGTCGCTACTGAAGCACATAAATGAGATGTCATCTCAAACAGAGGTTTCAAAGGATTTTGGTCTCTCAAACACGAATTCTGAAGATCTCAAGATTCCTAAACCCTGGAATTTGAGGTCACAGGAACCCTAGCAACCCTAAGAGTGCACCTAAGAGTCTTTGGAGTCTGAGTCCAATAAATCCTAGGGATCCCTAAACCCAGGAACTTGAGGTCACAGGAACCCTAGCAACCCCAAGAGTGCACCTAAGAGTCTTTGGAGTCTGAGTCTAATAAATCCTAGGGATCTCAAGATTCCTAAACCCAGGAACTTGAGGTGACAGGAACCCTAGCAACCCCAAGAGTGCACCTAAGAGTCTTTTTCGAGTCTGAGTCCAATAAATCCTAGGGATCTCAAGAATTGTACATGTCCTAGGTGTTCCAAAATTACTGTTAGGCTCAAACGTCCTAAACAGAGTCCCCAATAACGGAGGACCCGTAAAAGAATGATTCGATTGTTTATAATTTGTTTTATCTTCAGGTAAGTGGATGGAGGATGTTTTCACAGTAGCGAGCGTGTATAGCTAGAGACGATGACTGGAACAAATGTCACATAAGTGGATTGATGTACGACAGACACGATGATCGATTCGGATCGACGATCACGGTTCAATCGACACCAGGCCCAAGATTCAATTCCATTGAGGATTTTTTTTCTCGTTGAACTGGGTTAATAGTAACCACGCAATGGTTATTCAATCGGGATTGAGGTTTCAGTCAGTCAACAGAACAGAACGCATATTCTGAAACCTTCAGCATTCCGTTTATCTTTGAATAACATTTTCTTTTATCTTAGCCATTAAACAACAAAAAGGGAAATTTATGTAAATAACTTAACTGCAGAAAAATGAGGAGTCCATGAAATTATAAGATATATTTTGACCTTCATAATTTAATGTGCGAGTAGCATAACTTTACGAGTCCCGTATTCGTATCAATAATTAAATAAAATTATTGAGGAACAGGAAGATTATGTGGTGCCATTTGATTGCAGTCGTTTTTCGTTTCAGTTCGCTCATTCTGCGCGTATAAAAGTATAGAGAAGAAGTTTCTGGACGACGATTAACGTTTTTTGTCATTGACATAGTTCCTTCCAGCGTGAAAGGAACCATCGCTCCAAACTACCATCCTTACATAATATCCGACGAGTGCACGTTCACCTGAGCTTGCGTAAGGCACGATTCGTTTTGCCTGAATCAAACCATCTCGCACTAAATCGGAGACAAAAGTATCGAAAAATTCGACTTTGCAGCATCCAACGCTGAAAGGACAGGGACGTTGCACTCGTCACCGCATTACGGCGGATATTAAGCGATAAAATGATAACGAGTACTGTCTTCTCTAATCCCCTAATACGTCTAAAGCTTCGTATGCTACTCTAAGCTTTATCTTTTTATAGCAGTAATCTCGTTTCGTGAAATCGACATGATGGATATTTCGTAATAGTCTGATACGAAAGGAAATCGCGGTAATGTTTCTGTTTACTTTCTGTCTGGTTCAATACTGCAGACTTTATTCTACGAACTATATGAATTCTACTATTTACTAATACTAGATGCACATCAACCTAACCCAACCTCACCTGAATATAACTAAACCTAACAAAACTTCATTTAGATGTAACCATACCTTGAACTAATCTAACCTAACCTTGCCAGATATGAATAAATCTGATCTAACTTATACTACATGTAACTAAAACTGAACTAACTTATTGTGCATGTATGTAAATCTGAGCTAACTTTTTCTAGATGCAACTAAACCTGACCTAACCTACTGTACATGTAACTAAAACTGACCTAAACTATTGTACATTTATGTAAATCTGATCTAACCTTTTCTAGATGCAACTAAACCTGACCTAACCTATTGTATATGTAATTAAACCTGACCTAACCTGTACTACATGTAACTAAACCTGACCTAACCTACTGTACATGTAACTAAAACTGACCTAAACTATTGTACATTTATGTAAATCTGATCTAACCTTTTCTAGATGTAACTAAACCTGACCTAACATACTGTACATGTAACTAAAACTGACCTAAACTATTGTACATTTATGTAAATCTGATCTAACCTTTTCTAGATGTAACTAAACCTGACCTAACATACTCTAGATGCAACTAAATCTGACCTAACCTACTGTACAAGTAACTAAATCTGACCTAACCTGTACTAGATTTAATTAAAACTGACCTAACCTACTCTAGATGCAACTACATCTGACCTAACCTACTGTACAAGTAACTAAATCTGACCTAACCTGTACTAAATTTAATTAAAACTGCCCTAACCTACTCTAGATGCAACTAAATCTGACCTAACCCACAATATAACTAACTAAATTTGACCTAACCTGTACTAGATTTAATTAAAACTGATCTAACCTACCCTAGATGCAACTAAATCTCACCTAACCTGACCTAAACATACATAAACGTAACCTAACCTATTCCAGACTTCACAAAATCTCCCTTAACCTAAACTAGATGTAATTAAATCTGACCTAACCTAATTTAAATATAACTAAATCTAACCTAACTTACTGCAGATGTAATTAAACACGGTTTAACCCAATCGAAATATGACTAAACTTAACCAACCTAATGGTGGTGTAACTAAACCTAACCTAATCTTGATATAACTAATCTGAACCTAACTTAAACACGATACGAGTAACCTAACCTAATCTAAGACGTAACACGCGCTAACCTAAACCTCGAAAATTCTAAATGTGTTCTGTAATCAACGAATATTTATGTTACGTTTAAACAATTCTCGAAACTGAAGTTAGACGTAAAACAAAAGTTAAACAGAGGTATTAGACTAGCTTTACGCGTTCGCTTTCACTCGTTAGAAGGAATCTAAGATTCTTATGGCATTCAGAAGGCACGCGTTCCTTATCGCGGATTAAGAACGCAAACTTCAAAGCGGTCATAAATCATTAAACAATTCTCATACGTCGAATCCATACTTTTACCGCGGTATCTAGATAACGCTTTAAAAGTCTGGAGACGATCCTCATTTATCAAATAGGATTACGAGCTTATTCGCATTTTTTTGTCAACTCGATGTTTGAGCAATGATTGATGATTAATAGGTGCGGAACGAAGTGATAAAATAAGTTCTTCATTTCAACCCTTGTTTCAGAAATTTTTATTTCGCGTTGGACTCAGAATTTTCTTTTCATCTCAATTTTATTTATTTAATTCAATGTAAACGTAGATGATTTTTTATTTAGATTAGTCTCATTGAGTGACACAGGATTTCAACGCAAATAGGTTCTTTTAAATCAAAACTCAAAAATTAGCTTTCATTTAAGCTCCATTTTAAGTAATTGATGCCAGAGGAAACTTCAACTTAGTACAAGTGTTAACATACAATTTTTAGTTTAAAACTACCAACCCATCGTTTATATCTGCACAACGATGTTGCAGAGGAAACAATTATGCAATTAAATAGCCAAGGTTAATCGACAGAAATTCTTTTCAGCCATTATATTTAGAAATGCGATTTATCTCGCTTGATGGACAATTTACTGCATGCTCGAACAATGCATTTTTTTTCTCAAAAAAACGTTCAATGAATTCGTCAAGACACCGTCTGTCTTTTGTAACATTTCCTCGGAGCTCACAAGTTTTAACCAAATCAACCCTTAAATTTTTCAACTGAATTTAACTGAAATCCTAAATTATCAGATTGCTAACTGTAACTTATCAAATTAAAATAAACGAGACATGTCAATAAAATAGATAAAAATAACTCGAGGCTTATCAATTCTATGTATAGAGATTTAAAATGCGTGAAGAAACCTGTAAATCCATTAGCGTTACCGATTAGCGCAGAAGACAAACATTGCGCTGGAAAATTCTAAGCGTTTCTGGCAACACAGATTTATTATCGACCTATTGTCAATATCTGTTGTGAAAAATTGAGATAAGAAGAGAACAATTTCCTGTGCAAATTGCATCGAGGTTAGGGGGACGTCATTCTCATTTTTTCTGCGCACGCGTCTCCATTGAAGTAAATGGGAAAAGATGGTCTCACGTAAGGTACCTTTTCTGGAGAACCAGAGTACCTACATGTACGCCCATGGTACCAAATTAAAGCTAAGAAGATGGCCGACAATCTGAGTGAAGTGGATTTTTTTTGTAGGCCTTCATTTTTTTTTGTTAACACTTCAAATCTGACAACTTACCTCAACGGCCACGCTTATGGCCAGTTTTAAAAAAATTGGAGGCCTACGAAAAAAATCCACTTCACTCAGATTGTCGGCCATCTCCTTAGCTTTAATTTGGTACCTTGGGTGTACATGTAGGTGCTCTGGTTCTCCAGAAAAGGTACCTTATGTGAGACCATCTTTTTCCCATTTACTTCAATGGAGACGCGTGCGCAGAAAAAATGAGAATGACGCTTAAATACACCTCCCCTTAAATACACCTCTGAAAATTATGTCTCAAGGGTGCCTTTTTAAATGTATATCAAATTTGAATTATATCAAATTTGAAATATATATCAAATAAAAATTATGTCAAATTTTAAATATACATCAAAGTTAAATTACATCAAATTTGAAATATATATCAAATAAAAATTACATCAAATTTTAAATACAAATAAAATTTCAATTATCCCTTAATTTTGCAAATGACATATTTTTACAGTACAAGAAAATAATTAATTATCTTGAAAAATATTGATCTAAATAGACTTCGTTTGTGAAAAGTGCTGAAGATGTCTACTAGAATGAGAAAATCCAATTAAGATAAGGAAATATTTATTCAAACAGTTCGATGATTAATTACTCGCTCAGTAGTTTTTTATCCTAAAAGAATGCATAATGTTCAGTTCTTATTCTAGCAATAAATTCAATTGATGCATTACCCAAGGTCTAATTGTGTACATGCATCGGAAGAAACTGGTTTTACATTTCCAACGTATCGAGTTTCCGAGGGAAAAGTAACCTCGTGTTTTCATTCCGCTTTCGTTTTCAATAGCACTACGAATCAGCCGATTTCTCGTAATTTTATATTCCATTCGAATTCTTGTAAAACGTATATCAACTCACTGACAAAATGATATTAACTAATATCTTAAGTTCTTGGAAATTAATTTTCTTCTTTTCTTATAATTACATAAAAAAAAATTGACAGAAGAAAATTCAGAATAAATTAAAAATAAGCTATAAGTTAAGGACAATAATCATTAAAACAAAATGATATTAACCACCAACAAAAATTCTGAGAAATTAATCTTCTTCTTCTCTTATAATTACATAAAAAAATTGACAGAAGAAAATTCAGAATAAATTAAAAATAAACTACAAGTTAAGGACAATAATCATTAAAACAAAATGATATTAACCACCAACAAAAATTCTGAGAAATTAATCTTCTTCTTCTCTTATAATTACAGAAAAAAATTGACAAAAGAAAATTCAGAATAAATTAAAAATAAACTACAAGTTAAGCAAGATACCTTGACTCGATTGTTAGTTAAAAATATTAAGCTACTACTTTAGCTGTAATAGAATTTTGTTTAAAAATTGTTCAAAGCTGATTCACAGATACAACAGCTGAGTACTGTTTGATCAATGATTCTATATTTAATTAACACTTAGCGAGAAACAAAAGTAAATCGAAGAGATAAACTGAATGAATTGTGTTAAAAGTTGACGAAAATAGAATTACCTGTTGTTGTTCACGGATAGCGGCATCTTGTATCAATGTTTGGATTCTCTTCGGTTTTTCGGAACTTTTTTACACGTGCATTCTTCGAATCTCTTTTCTTCTTTTTAATCGCGGGACATGGTGAAATAGTTTTCTTCTTTTCAAGTTTCAGCAATGACACTTTCAAATTTTCCTTTTACAAATTCTTTTCTTCTTCAAATTTACAGACACTCTTCTTCACAATTCTTCCTTTACTCAAGTTTATTTCTTCAAACTTAACTAGTTTCTCAAATTGGAAGAAGAAATTTGAAGAATATGTTCATTTATAATTTCTTCTGTATGTTTGTATATTTTCTTTTCTATAAATTTTTCAAGACCACTAAACTACCCCTTTATTTTTCTTCCCTTCTTGAAATTTCCCAAACACACTCAGTTACAATTTCTTCTGTCTTATTCTCTTCTTCTATCTTGATAACAAACAGTATATTTTGTATCTCTGCCCCTACAAACCTAATTTCACAGTTTTCTTCAAATATCTTCCACTGTTCACCTTGCAGACTCAGTTTCCCCAGTCTCTAAAAAATCTTCGTCAATTTATCAACTTCCAATGAACATCGTTCAAATCCTAGTCGATGCTCGAGAAATTATCTCTTCTTTGATCCAGCACTGATAAGCAGAACAACTGAATCAATTTCTGTCAAACAACTGTTGGACCTTTATCGCCTACAAGTGTCACTTTCTCTTTCCATGTTAGCAATCGTATTATCCCGGTAACGAGTAATTCATGAGGATGACCGGAAGAGCTAAAAGGTCTCTTCCGTTCCTGACCGAGGATAGAGCAAGCAGAGTCGTTCGTTGAACGGTTAGCGAACCACTAAACCCGAAACGAAAGCGAACTCGGGTGCACTTACCGATTCCTCCTCCTTCGGGCACAACGATTGCTATTATGAACGGCCACATGCGACCTGGTCCCCCTCTATCCGCGGTAACGGGCCATTGTTACCTATCGTGGATGACAGTTGCGTCTCGCAGCTAATAGACGAGAATGCTGCTTGCTAATCTTCTTTACAAATTGATCGCCGTGGAGGGGACTTTCTGATGTCTGCGTATTTCGACACGTGTGTGATTATAAATTAAGTGGAAAATGTGGTGAGGTTTTCCCTGAGACGTTTGCAGGATAATTTTACGTGAAGAAATTTGATTTGTGACGAATTGGAAATTCATTCTTATGATTGTTAGTTGTGATTAGGTAGGAGTTTGTAAATTGATATTGCAACTCAAGAAAATTGATAAAATCTATGAGAAGGGAGGTTCTCTATGAGACAGCACCACTTGGACTTACAGTAAATTGGTAAATATCAAATATTGTAGCATTCAGTAATGAAATAGAGGAGCTAGATATGATCATTTATTGCTGCATAATTGTAATTGTATGTGTAATTTTGGAAATTAATATTGGAACTCAAGATAATTGGTAGGGCCTTAAAGAGAGCGAGAGTCTATCAGTGCTGCATGACCACTTGGACTTACAGTAAATTGCTAAATAAAAAATATTGTAGCGTCTAGTAATGAAATTAAAGAACCAGACATGATCATTTAGTGCTACATAATTGCAATCATATGTGAAAATTTGAAAATTGATATTGGAACTCTAGACAATTGGTAGGGCCATGAAAAGAGCGGGTCTCTATCAGTGGAAAGTACTTAAACATACAGTAAATTGGTAAATAAAATAACATGTGATAATAAAAACAGAGAAACTACGCATTATTATTAAATATAATTATAATTTTATTCAAGAATTTGACAATACATAAATCTTCAACAATATTAGTTACAAAAATTTGTTTTGAATGGAATAATTTATGGAAAACTTGGTCCTAATCTTATCAGAGATCTATGAAATATCAAAAGAAATAACATATTTGTCTTTCAAAGATTGTAAATTACATCTGGAATTTTATATAGCTTCTGAGAAGTTGCTACATCTTCAAGTTCTACATTTTAATTGAATACACAATCACCTTATATTCAAATGGATCAAACAAGATTGGAACTCAGTAGGATTTACATGTAATTAGAGATCTCCTTTTACGTCAATGTTAATCTTATTACTAAAGCATCACAGTGAAAGTGTTGATAACAGTCAGATTGTTTAGTGATACTATTGTTAACTCTACAAAGCCAAATGTTTAGAGACCTTTGTCCTACTGAAAACTGAGAATGTTATTATCATTAGGAACTAACATTGGCTGGTGAATCAGATAAAATCAAAGCATAAGCACTGCTGTCAATGCCACTTATATTATCATGTCTATCATCAAATTTGATTACTGTTAATTATACTCCACTTATCAGTTGGACTACATAATTATCTATCCACGGTACATTCATTAAGAACTTTTTTATTGTCAATTCTTTAAATGAATAGATTTCTCAATAAAGTTCAAATGCTGTTAGAGAAATTGAATTACAATCTTTTAGATAATATTATTTACTTACAGTTGAGTATATTGACATCTTTCCATAGATTAAACTTAATAAAAACAATAATCTCTTAATGCCTGTCTAACTGTAATTTACTGGACATATGTATCATTTGTTATGAGAAATATTAATGACAAAATATGGTGTTAATGTTATTCGTTGTTCTAACATATTAAAATTTACACTTGACGTGCTACATGATCTGATCATGAGATTATCTGACACCTGTTATATTCATTGATCTCTTCACTGTTAAAACTATAACGGTTTATGCCTGAATAGGTCAACAGTTCTAATTAATAGGAAAGTTCCACAACGAATATTACTCGTGATCGGCAAGTTATTAGCAGAGTAATTTGCTATAATTGTGCGCTAAGGACTTTTGAATTTATTATGAACAATTGATATAATTACTGATCTAACCTTGCAAGAAGGGAAGGATTGTGGTGAGTATAGAAAACAAATTAAAATCTAATAAATTTGAGAATTTATTAAGAATGATATATCTTGGTGTACGACACATTTGCACGTGTTAAATTAATTAAATAAATATAAAAATCACGCAGACTTCTAAATGATCGTTAGCCAGCCAACTGTGCTGTTAGAAGTACTTTTTTTGTCTATTTTATTCGTCGTTTTTGTCTTTTAACTCCTACGAATTACGAGTGTGTCATGACCTGATATCATTTACAACTTTGGTTAAGAAAAATATATACCTCTATTATTAATAGATGAATGACCGAGCACTAATTGTCTCAAACACGGCATCAGAAAATAAAAGAAACTTGTCAATATAAATCGTCATTATAGTTCAGTCTAAAGGCGTATAGATCACTATTTTGTAACATTCATTTCATAACACACATGCCAAATTTCTATCGAAGCTAGAATCCGCTAACAATTAACCGAAATCGTTCGTATAAAAATTTCTGAACAAGTTTTTCACTCAAGTTATCTGTGAATCTGGAAGTTGCATCGTTATCACATCGTTGGAAGCATAGAAATACTCATTTACGTTTGATTCGATGAAAGTTACGAAATTTTCATTGAAACGCACGACCAGTTAATTGTTAGGAGTCCTTTGTGTAACACTCTGTTCAATAACGATCCTCTATAGTTTCACACATGGACTTGATGATTGAATCATATCAACGTTTGCGGCTCATTCAAAAGAAGAATAAAACATTGGCTCGACGTGTACACCCTGTATATATTCTTCTTTGAACTATAAATTGTACCGGAAAGTGAGAACGTACACTTCCGTTCGCTACAATAATGTATATACGTATAAAATAGGACCCATTTTAGTTCTTTCGAGAACAACAATTCTCCTTACAAAAATAGACCGCTAAAGCTAAACAAGACTAAACGTTTTTAATACACGGGATGTTAAACACTGAATCGTTCGAACGCAACGCTTCCATCCAGAGTCGATCCTCGTAAGGCGCAAACAATTCTTGCCGATAAAGTTATATTACTCTTTCATGAATGATGAGTTTTCATTTAGCGTATGAATGTGATTAATCGTAAGTTCAAAAGCCTTTCCTGTTTTCAAGCTACATAGATGGGCTAAGAAAGACTATGTACCAGACGACTGAGATCTGTTTCTTCAGTGCGTGTAGTCCTTTTCCTAAAATGTCTCTTTATTTAGTTGAACTAAATAAAGGTTTATTTAGTTGAACTAAATAAAGGTAGAATGAAGGCACTCTGTTAGACCGTGATGCAGGTAACAGAATAACAAAGAGAAAGAATGAAAACTTACTAATACACTCATACGTCGATCGTTAAATTTTAATGTTTTAATGGGACTCGATTAAACTTTTGACCCCTATATGGTCTTTTGATAAACCGATCCATTTAATATATATATAATCTTTTTAGTAAATAAATTTCTTTTATGTACTTGATTTTACAACACAGACGTGAAATTCCAGCACGTCCGTGTTAAGCAGCACCGGTTTAACAAATGCAGAGCTTCTATTTCTCGGCTTAACCTCTGAAACCTCTTAAATAGAATATAATATGAAAATGCTGCTAAATCGCGGCGCAAAAACAATACGCATGCCTCGAAAAATAGCACAGCCATTCTTATTTTTCTTTCAGACAATGAACAGAGATACCGGATTACTCGATTATCTAAAAAATATGGATCTTTTTCGTATCACGAGTGTTCATTGTCTTCAGCTTTACGTTCCTCACGGTGCTTTCGTACCTCAAGTATCGATTTAATAATCTTCCGTCGATTAAAAATTTTCATTACGTACTTCTTTTCCTTTTAATCGTCATGATAGACTATAAATATTAAGGCGCGACTATGACGTAGTCGTAAATGTAAAAAGTTCGCGCACCGAAAGTGCGTATACGACGTTTTTTAAAATATAAAATGTACATTTGTAAAAATTTCGATATCCCCCCAAAAGCGTAGGATTCTGCTCGAATGTTAAAAATTAAATAAGAAAGAAGAAACAAGATGAAACAGCAATATGTATAACGTGCAATATACAGATCTTAATCTAGTTTATCAGAGACCAACGGGAATCTGACTATGCGTAATTGTCGCCCGAAATCGCATACTACGCTATCCCTTAAAACTAACATTTGTTTTATGAAAATACAACTATCCTTGTGACCCAATCTTACTTCTCGTACAGGCTCTCCCGTCCTGACGTCCCAAACTATTAGTGATCCCTGAAACGTTACGATTCGTAAAAGTTCGCTTAAAACCTATACTCTTTCGAAATCATGAACACGGCAACTCATGCTTTATGTAACAGTTAAAAATAATGTGCACCTAATGGTCACTGATAATTTTTATTTTTCTTCAAATCCGTAAATGATGGCAAAAGTAATATATATGTACATACCTGATTACTGGTTATGAGTAGATGATGTGTTAACATGACTAATTGTAGACTGTACGCTGATCTGTGTGCTGGAAGAGCATGTAATAAATGTCCCTGAAATCGTTCCCACACACATAACCTCTCATCAGTTCCAATGCTTATCACATACGACACGGAACAAGTAATAGCTGCCACGGCACCATCGTGAGCCTGTATACTATACATGCACGTTCCTATAAAAAAAAAAGTTATTTGTGCTCACATACAATTTTCAGAAGCAAGAATGATAAGTACCCGTTAGGAGATCCCAAACGCACAACAAGCCGTCTTGAGATCCACTACCAGATGTCATGGGACTCATCCTGTCAATGAAGAGACACGATATGGGTCCGCAATGACCATGAAGGGTATACAATGGCAACTGATCTTCTAACCTGGAAATGAACAGCAAAATAAGACTATTGAGTGTAGTATACGTTTCACTGCGTCGTAAAACGATATGTACCTATATACTTTAAGAGTATGATCTTGACTACCAGTTAAAACTCGACCACCTTCGCTATCGAGCACTGTTATTGCTTGTTGATGTGCTTTGTGAGAACTGATTTTCATGCACCGAAGGTCCTCCGGTTGCATGATGTTGTTTATGTCCATAGGCGACCCAGCACTACCCGTCCTAACATGGGCTAAAATGAAAAAGGTGACGTGAAGATTATATTTGAATAAAGGCGCTAACGAATGAGTCACTCAGTCATACTTCTCCTATATGAAGTGAATCCCCAGTCAATTTGTTGACCTTCGCTGTAACTTTCAAGCTGTAGGAAGTCGATCGAACCGTTCAACTTGGCCGCCACGACTCTACTTCCGACAAACTTGACAGCGGATATTCCGAGCCCTGAACCATCGTCAAATAAACACTGATAAACATAACAAACATTTAATTTAACATTTTCAATTTTTCTGCGCGTCAGTTACACCGATCAATTACCTTGAATCTTCCTGTGGTACCTTCCCAAAATTCTAAACTTCCATTTGCACATCCCACTACTATCAGATTCTCCTGATAATCCATACACCATATGGAAGACACCGAATGCATAATCTGCACAGTTCTATCAGTACTCAACGAAGACATACTATTCACCAACCCCGAAGAATTCAATTTCCCATTAGGAATGTACAAGTGTTCGGAACTCTCCGACTTCTGCATCTCTTCTATAGATTTGTTGTGTTCCTCGAACAGTTGCTTATATTGATCACCAAAATCGAATCCGTGCTCGTAGTTCTGCTGCGATGAAGGCTGTTGCATGGTTGAGAACTTGATATTTATCGCTGACTTCAGATCCGGAATATCATAGTCATTGTCTAAAGACCTGCGTACGTTTCGTCTTTTTTCCACGCCAAATTCGTTGATCTGATAATCGTAATCAAACGAGCCACCCATCGAGTGATTTCTAATAGTATTTTGTGCCTTATGAACGTTGTAGACAGGCGAAGACTTTCTGCATTGAACAGTCGAGGCTGCCGAGTATAGACCGAACGAATTAGTACCCTCCATTTCCCCCCTCGAAGGAGGCGAACCACTTTCATAATCTGACATTAATTCGTCCATGTCTGATGGCACATGATTTAGGTTTTTCTTGGGACTGCTAAAAAATTGCTTCCTATCTATGTGAACTAACTGTTCGCCTGACGTCGCGTCCCACACCCTGATGTGGCCAGCTAAGCAAGTACTGGCAATTGTGTTACTGTCTGTTGCGAGGCATTCTACTTCTTGAGTGTGTCCTTCCAGCACCAGTGGCAATGCTTCCAGAACTAGTTGCGTGGCTGAATCGTGTGCTTTCTCTGATTGGTACCAGCTAGCTCGCCATTCGGCATAGTTTCTTGAACATATACAACGGTAGAGAACTACCATTGTATAAGCAACGACGATGACGCTGATAAGACAGAGTACTGCTGCCAAGAATATCTCCATTGGACTGGATGGGATGAAAGGGGCGTCCGCGTTGAAACTTCGACCTTCGGATCTTGTTGGCAATTCCATGTCTATAATGATTGAAAAGCATTGTTAATAATTAATAATATAATGCAATTTCGCCCGTTCAGTATTATTTTATACCTGAGAAGTCTAACGGATCAAGTGCAGCTGTTGCAAGACTTTGCCACTGGAAATGTTGCACATCGTTTGGATTGCTGATTTGTTTGACCAACTGTGGACTTACAGCATGAGATATTTTCACTGCTGGTAGTATTGTAATACGCCCGCCAGCAGCAGAAATGTTGTACATCGAGAGAACAGAAGACCAGTGGTATAGCGACAAGCGATTCCAAGGCGGAAAATCCACCGGTCGTAATTTATTTAGTTCTTCGGTAATATTGTTTAGGTCATTCTGATGCGTAACAAAACATGGTCAATTAAAAGTAATATATAACTGATATGCAAGTAAACCTATAGTTCTATTAGTTTACCTGTTTATTTAAGTGGTCCGGAATAACCGCAACCGAGGGAACTGATAATGGTCTCATTGTATTTGGTTCAACATAATTATTTAAAGTATGAGATCTATCTACAGTATATCCATCAATGTCAGATTCCAACTTCAATGTTTCACTTAAATGTATAACATGCTCAACAATGCCAGAATTGTATATGATCATGCTGATCCAAACAACCATCCATACCATGAAGGCACGTTGAAATATCCGGGTTCTTGCCCAGAAATGAACCAGACGTAGACGTTTCGGAATTTTTCCTAGTGTATGAGTGTTTTGCGTGTTTGGAGCTATGACATTTGTGGGGCCACTGGTCAAGCCATTTAATCTCGGATGCGACTTTGATCGAAAGATGTTTGGCTTTCTGTTTGTTATGGTTGTCGTAAATTGTTGTTTGCGCATAGCCGGAACATTTGGTAAATGAAATTTCGATGTTTCACTAGATAGTTCGGTACGTTTGATATCGATAGCAAGGATAGTTGAGAAAAACACCATCTGAAGGAAGAAATCAGTGACTAATCCCACAATAGCAAATATACAGAATTCTTGAATGGCTGGCACAAAAGTGAACAATCCAATTGTCAATATCGTTACTTCCGTTAGTAGGTTTTTGGTAATGGACCAACCTTCTTTGGACAGTGCTTGGGCAACGCGTATTTTCACGTCCAAATGTGATGGAGTACTCACTACGCTTTTGGTCAATATCAAAACATTTTCCAGCCCTACGATAATCACCAAATATGGGAATACCTCTTTTCCACTTAAACTTAACGTTAAGCCAAAAAAAAAGCATACACCCACAGTCATAGATAACGAACTTATCACTGTTACTGTTGCACTGAACGCTATGCCAATTTTTGACTTTATCATTTCTATTTTTCGCACGGAGAAATAGACGTAAAAAAACAATGCAAAGAATGTCATCATTAGCGGGAAAAAGTCACTGTAATTGAATTCACCAGGGTAAAAGATGTGTAACGTTTCGTCCATGCGATCGTAAGTATCATTGTCACCTACTTGATGGAGGTGGTAATATGTTTTTAATCTGTGCTTTAAGCCTTTTATAAAGCTGAAAATTAAAGTAGTATAAATAATATAAATCCAAGACATGATTGAATCGCGTATTAATATAATACTTACTCAGGATCATAATCCTTTAAATAAATAGTTACTGCATATTGTAAAATTCTTTGTCGAAGACGACTAGGATATCGTTTGATTCCAGTTTCTTTCAGATTCATTCCAAACATTACTTCAGCTAAACTAACTTTACCCTTTTGTAGATTCTATAATACACAATTACATAATTGTAGCAGGCCATTCTATTTGAAATAGTATATTATGTATGATTTATCATTTTTCAAGTGGAATGTATTATATTGATCGCATAATGTTCCTACCTGATATGAATAAATTGTATTTATAAGATTTGTATCTTGTGCATATAATTCGATACTTCGTTGCCACAAGTTAGCAGGGGAAAGAACCAGACAATTATATTCTGGCAAAATTTCTGATTTTTTGCCATTTCTTTTAACAGCTTCAACATGTAAACATACTTGGTCAAGTGTTTTCAACCTAAAAAGAGTTGGGACATTAATAGACAAATGCTTCTATAAATATACTCCTACAAATATGTAACTTACGTTTCAGGATGCTGATAATTTTGTATAATCTCTAAAAGATTAAAAACTTCATAAAGTGGACCCCGGAAAGCATCCATCATTGTTAATTCCTCTGTCCATGGAATAACACCGACCCTTAATACCACTTGTTGAACGTAGAATGCAGAATTCTCCGTGCTATTTTCAGGTACAATAGTATGATTGATTACAGCTCTTGGCACATTGCCAGGCATAGGTAAATTGACCAAAGGATAACTGAAGAAAAAAATATTGCTAAACATTTTCTATGTTATAAATAAATACACGATCAAAAAGAAACATTACGAACCAACATAGCAATACGATCGATATTGCTAACGAAATAACTGCAACAGGATAAGAAGAACAGAATAGGCCATGGGCATAATATAGCCCTGCCACCTTATCCGGTAAACTACGGAACATTTCACCTTAAGGCTGCCTCACCAACATGTCTTATAGCATATAAATATACATATTACTAGCAACTGACCTATGAACACCAGAAAAAGGGAAACATTGCATAAGGTGCAAAAGAAATAAAGACCACGTTGAACATATTTATTGGCACAGAGTACCATATTAAGGAACGTTCATAAATAAATACACTAAAATGTTTGTATGCGAAAGTGAAAAACAAGAACAGTCCACGTGTTTTTGCTTGCACCAGTGACACATCATTCAATTTATATTTTTGCTAGAACGTGAAGAGGTCAATGATGCGAAGCGCGCAAGGTTACGACGAACAGACGTATATTCCTTCGCGTGTATTAATGACGCAATAACGAGCAGATAAAAGGAACGATGATACACGACGGTCGAATTCTTCGGGGGGTTATACGTCGACACATCATAACATGTATTGCATCGTAGTCATTGCAAATCACTTATGCATGTGTTGATCACTAATTATATCATTTCTCGAATCATGAATTACAGCAACAAGTGACGAAAATTCTTTTCATCAGCACAAACACTGTTCAACATCGTCACGCAGTTCTTCGAACATCATTCGAAATATTCTTCGGGTGCGTTTAGAGTTGCCGAGCAAGAGCATTCGATCATGCTCGTTTCCCGTGAAAGAGCGAATTGTTCGTTTCAAGTCGCGCGTCCGAATGCTCGATAAGGTGAATTGAATCGTGTTGAGTCAGGTCAAGTCAAATTGAATCACATAGAATCGAATCGAATCAAGTCAAATTAAATACAGTCAAGTCAAATCAAATTGAATCATACCAAGTCGAATTGAACCGAACCGAGTAAGTATCGAATCAAATCGAATTATGCCGAACTGATTCGACGAGTCTGCGCGCCTATTGTTAGAGCATTCGTTCACGTTGATCGCAAATGACCGAGCACCGTAAGAATGCTCGACTGCATTCAAATTTCTCAGAGGAGTATTCGCTCGCTCGATCTAAATGCACCCTTCGATGTTTTTCGCGCACGAAGTAACAATTTATACGTAAAAAAGAACACATCAGAGTTGTAAATCGAAAGATATGTACGTTAGCAACAGAAGCAAGAAACGTGAGGCATAAACGTAAGAAATAGCAGCGCTACCTCGAGAAACAGAGGTGAAACTGCGGGCTTTGGAGGTTAGGTTCGTTCCTCGTTCGCGCACATTTATGCGTAGATAATACTGGAACTGATTTCACTGCACGACGTCGTAAAACACAAGAATCGCTCGCACGTGTTTTCGATCGCGCGTCACTCGTCGAATAAGCGGACGACAGAGACGAATTCGAGTTGGAACGGAATAGACGGTGGTCGAGAATCGACTTCCAACGCACGCACACACGATCGACCGACACGACCGGCGCAAATTCTCCGAGTGCACTGGCCGGTTTCAATTTAACTCGCCACGACGCTGCACGCTAAGCGATGCTAATTTATTTTTAAACGGTGTAGCCGTGCCTCCGACATGCAACCAATCGTAGGTGCACGAATGCCATGCAACCAGTGCCCCTCCTGCCTTTGGCCACGCACGTGCTGAAAAATTTGATAAATCTCGAGAAAGAAACCGGTTGCGTTCGATTTCTCGCGAGTCGAAACGATGCGATAATCACACCGCGAACGATAGTTTGCCAACGAATGAGACTCGTGCTAGCCAGCTCTCCTAAACGCGTTTGTATTACCGCTTATCTTTTATCGTGCTGAATTAGTATTTGTTGACAAACGATATAAATTCGTGTAACAAATGTCAACAGTCGAAAAAAGTGACCATTCCTCTTCGTCCGGAAAATGTGCACTTTCTACGAAATACGCATACAAGTTGGTATAATGTCATTTCTCTTATATTCTTATACGTTTATACTCTTATATCTCTTATACCCTCGACTTCGAATATTTAATTGTTATTATTCGAATTTAGGAAAACGAGTAAATTGTGCTGTATCATTATGAAAATGAGTAATTGTGCTGCATGACGAATTTGGGCGGGAAATCTTCCCGCCAAATTCATGCTGAACTTGCATACATCGAAACTAACCAGAGTAGAGAAATAAAGTTAATAAGAATCTGTTGAATTCGAACTGTGGAAAACAAGCGACTGCTGTAAGAAGAATATAAGGAAGAGAAGGTCACGTATTTATTTAAAAAAGTAAGACAAAGGTTACTTTTTAAAGCCGGCGTTAATTGTGAAAACGAAATGCAGCAGTGGTTTCGATAAAATTATGTTTATCGAACAATTTCAACGTATTTTGCATTTCTGATACAATTTCCATAACACTGCGATAAATCCGCTTTGTTTTGTAAACGACTGCATTCGTATTCGAGGTCAGTGTCAATCCATCGTACACATAGTTTCAATCTTAATTTTTTCTACTTCATAAGGCGAACGTTCATAATATGGGTGACGATAAAACGCGTTTATTATAGCAGTGCAATGTCAATAAGTGCAAACGAAATAAAAGAAAAAAGAAACGATGTACGTCATAAGTCATTAATGAACGAGGAAGCCATTGTCGTAGAATGCAGAGTTTGTATAAAACTGGGATCTTTGAAATTAACCAATAAAAAAGGTATTTATTCTGCGACAAATATTGCGTATATTATTTAACGTGATTTGAATAGAAATTCAAAAATAAATGGTTTCAGGAAAAAAGCTGACGAAACCAGAGACATGTGAAAGATTTAAAGACACGCGTGCGAGCGGATAGAGAAACTTGTCGCATTTGCATTTCATTTACTCGCCGGGTTTGTTTACTCATTCGTCCAGGAAAAGGCGCAAAAAGTAAGAGAAAAAAAGTAGCTTTTAGAGCACGTCGGTTTTTATTCGCAGCAAAGAATAGGCCAAACATTATGATAAAAACGCACATTTTTGTGCATTTAATCAACTGCATGCAGGTTACCCGCCTTTTGATACGCGCGATCGTCATGCGTTACGTAACGCGCGAAATTTGAATTGCTAATTTGAGTTGGTTAATGTAAATCGACTCACCTGTGATACTGTATTTAAGATTGCTGTACGTGCGCCTGGCTCGTCAATTTTTCACCTTATTTGCGGGCATTTGACACTTACTGTAAGATTTTGAACCGTGGAAAGTAGCTTTGAATTTTTGAGACTGTGGACCTTGGGAACTTTGGATGTTCGGGACCTTGAACCTTCGAAACTTTCGAACTGAGATTCTTTGGTACGTGGAAACTTGTAACTTTAGGATTGTACAATTTTGAGACTTTAAAAGTTTTGAACGTCAAGGGTTTCTAAATAATTAACTTTCCATAAAACTTTTCACGAATCTCTCTTAAAGCACCTAGCTACGCCAATGGATCTCATTATCAAAGGTGCAATAAAACGCACAGATACACGAACCAATGGCACTAACATACCACCGTGTTCTCGATGCTTTTTAGTCGCCATTTAAGTGAGAAATGTTGGATCAAGTTTTGCTGAACACCGTGGTCACCTGATCCTGCGAGTTGACATTCGATCCAGGACAAAATAAATCGATAGTTACCGCAGATCCTAGTAAAATGTGACGGTCATGCAAACCGTATTACATTCACGGTTTTTGGTCCAGTAGTTGGAACACGAGTTCACGAATATATTATCAAGAGAAATTAAGAACGATTCACGTAATCTTGCTTTCGTATATATAGTTACATAAGTGGGATCTTGCTGAAACTTCGAAGAGCAATGATTAATAAGAAACTATCGTTGTATACTTAAAAACTTGCGTCGTTTTATTATAAGACGCACCTGTGTCATGAGAATGTATTACAGAACGTACATGGTGCGTCATGAGGGTATGTAGCAAAGGACACACATGGTGCGTCATCGAAGGAGGAATGTATAGGACGCACAAGGTGCGTCATTGATGAAACGTGCATAATGCACATGGTGCGTAGTGTAGTACGCACCTGGTGCGTCACAAGGCTATGTACCATAAGACGCACAAGGTGCGTCATGTATAGAATCGCGTGAACGCACATGGTGCGTCATCAGTAAAAATCCATAAGACGCACAAGGTGTGTCATCGGTTTATTAACGTAGTAATTGACGTCACTCGATTATCGTTCGCCCACAGTTTCGAACGAGCAAGTAACTCTTTTTCTCGAATCGATATGAACAACATTTAGTCGAGGAGATAAAACGTTTTCTTTATCCGAATCAACCCGATAAAGAAGTTGTTATTTTTCTTGGATTTTGCGCGAAATATCTTGAGAAGGCGCATCGTCGATTCGAACGAAAACAATATATTTGTGCTCGTTCACGTTTTATAATTGCGAAGTCGTATCAACAGACAGTTACATTTTGTTGTTGCCCGATGTTTTCCGTCTCCGAATTCGAAGATCGCGGCCTTGAGTGAAATTACCGTGATCGAATCGATTCAGTGCCAAATAACGGCAGACACGGAAAAGTGCGAGGTCCTTGAGCGGTTAGGCGCACACGACCTTTCGATTTTAGACTCTCAACTTGTTCGGTTATTTTCGACGGAGCACCCACTCATCTGGTCATAGAAAACAGGCGGTGTTCTCTTCAGCGTTTCTAATATCTTCAATGTTTCAGATTCTGCGAATGCCGGTTGTAGTTTACATACCTCTGGGAGTTCCTGTAATTTTTCAGCAACTACTCGGAGTAACTCATAATTAAGCACTTCCTTTCTTCCTCACTACATTATTAACCCGAAAAGTTTCTACACCTTAGACTCATAATTTTCAATAAAGTTCTTCTTTTCCAAGTATCTCTTAATGTTCCCTAATTTGTGCAACGTTAGCGAAGTTATTCTTGTGCGCTTTTGTTAACGATAGGCCCGTCATTTATTTGTGCTAACGGAAAAATTCAAGATTGCGGGAGATTTCGTGGGAATCGAAGTAACTTGAAGTGTGAAGGTTATCTGTTACTCTTTATGACAGATATCATATTTGTGTGTCACGCGTGTACTTCATGACCCGCGCGACGGCCATCTTTTTTAACGAGGACACTGATTCTGTGTGGCTAATAATTGTGGTTTAGGAACGTGTTCCTTAGTGAATGATGAAATGTTATAGATCTGATATTTTAGAATGTTTCTGGAGTTGGGACTTTGGGATTTTTGAAGTTTGGGGAGTTTGGGACTTTGGGAAATTTGGGAGCTTGGGGAGTTTGGGAGTTTGGGGCTTTGGAAGATTGGGGGGTTTGGTAGTTTGGGACTTTGAGAGTTTGGGGGGTTAGGGAGTTTGGGACTTTGGGAGTTTGGGGAGTTTGGGAGTTTGGGACATTGGAAGATTGGGAGTTTGGGAGTTTA